AGGTATTTTGATTGAGAATATGAGACGGGAAGGTTTTGAGCTCTCGGTCTCACCACCTAAAGTCATGTACTGGATAAAGTTGTAGTTGCTACTCTTAAATTCAGCTAATGCTATATATTTCTTCCGTGGGTTTTAAAGAAAAGTGTCTTGGACTTGGACTTTTGTTTCATAAAGTAGTAAAAGTATTCTCTTGTTTTCCCCCAAGTTTTATAATATATGTGCAGATAATACTCAGACACTAGCTTGTACATTAGCTAGTCTTTTATATGTCTACTAGGGATTACTCCATAAAAATCACACTTTGTTTCTAGAAACCTTGTGTGGGTCTTCTTTTATTAATTCTAACACTACAAGAAAACAGGGAACATTCCGAGCAACAACTGTCTGTCGGAAATTTTCGACGGAAAATTTAACCGTTGTGCATTCCGACAAAATTCTGACGCAATTTTTTTGACGAAAGATTTTGTATTCAGTTTTCCGACGGAATATTTGACCGTTCGAAATTCCGACGAAATACCAACGACTATTCCGAAAAATTTTCGACGACCCTTTTTGACCGTTCAATATTTTGATGGAATTTCGACGAAATTTTTGACCGTTTAATATTCCGACAGAATTCCGACAAACTTTGGACCTTTTATCGGAATTCGATCAGAATGCCATCGGTTGTCGCCAGCAACTATCATCTATATAAATACAAGCTCTCCTCACCACTTTTTCCTCATCCACTCTTTATTCTCTCCTCACACTCTACCAATCCGAAAATAACAATAATGTCTTATACAAATCATTATCGATCGTGAATGGATAAATCGCATTTGGATCCAGAAACCAATTTTCTTACGGATGAATACATGAAAGGTATTGGTGAATTCATGAGGCTTGTACAACAATCAACGGAAGCAAAAACCATTATGTTAAGATGTCCCTGCTCTTCATGCAATAATAATAAGGTTATTAAGGAATGAGATGTGTGGACTCATTTATATATAAGTGGGTTTACACAGAGTTATAAAGTTTGGTATCTTCATGGGAAAACTGGTTATGAACTTGGTATTACTAGCGAACCTTAGCATGTGAATAAGGGTAGTTAGGGTAAAGAACCTACAACGGATATAGATTATGGTGTAGGTATTGAGCAGATGGTAAATGTTCATTATAGAGGGGAGGAGCTGAATGCAGAATCTAGGAGTTTTTTTGACATGTTAGATGCATGAAAACAACCTTTGTACAAAGGTTGTAGAGATGGTCATTCTCCCTTATCATCTTCAACTAGATTGATGGGTACCAAGACATATTATAATTTGGCAGAAGAATGCGTTGATGCGATTGCTGATTTTGTTGAAGATGTTTTACCGGAGGATAATCTTTCATCGAGTTCATACTACGAGGTTCAGAAACTGGTACCGGGTCTTGGTTTACCGTATGAGGTGATAGATGTATGCATCTTCAACTGCATGATCTATTGGAGAGCGGATGAGAACCAGGATATATGCAAATTTTGTGGAAAACCTCGTTATCAAGAAACGAGGGGAAGAGTACCGGTGCCATTCAAAAGGATGTGGTATTTTCCTTTGACGGAAAGACGAAAGAGGTTATATCATTCTGAACGTACATCCCAACCAATGAGATGGCATGCAGAGCACTCCACAGATGGTCAGATTAGACATCATTCAGATGCAAAAGCATGAAAACATTTCCAAACAAAATATCCAGAATTTGCCCATGAGAGAAGAAATGTCTATCTGGGATTATGTACTGATGGTTTCAGCCCATTTGGAAAGCATGGAAGACAATATTCAGTATGGCCAGTAATTCTGACCCCGTACAACTTGCCGCCCAATTTGTGCATGCGAAGAGAGTTTTTGTTTCTCTCCATTCTCGTTCCCGGGCCAGCCCATCTTAAAAGATCACTTGATGTGTTTCTTCATCCACTGATATATAAGTTGCAACATCTATGGGCGCATGGTGCTGAGACATACGAAGTTTCATGCAGAGAAAACTTTCAGATGCGGGCAGTACTTATGTGGACAATAAGTGATTTTCCAGCATATGAGATGTTATCTAGATGGACAACACATGGGAGACTATCATGTCCACATTTTCAAGATGACACAGATGCTTTCCAACTAAAACACGGAAGAAAAACGTGTTGGTTTGGCTATCACAGAAGATTTCTACCACCTGATCATCCGTACCGTAGGAGCCTTGCGCCATGCTGAAGATCTCTTGTAAGCATTTTCTCCAATCTGCATAATTCGCCAATCACCTTCTCCGGAAATTTAAACCCTCTTGGTGTAGAAATTGCATAGCCCGAGATTCTAACCCCAGACCTGGTGTATAAGCCTTTATACATTAACCAATAAGATACGGTGCTTCCCCATCGTTTTTACATGTTTAGCAAGTTAATTTTTCAAGTTCAAGATTTCTTGGTGATACAAATGTCACTTTAAAGTGTTAATGAAAAAAATTCAAAGTTTAAAGTCTCAGTAAATATCACTTTCAAGGTTTTATGAGATTTCCATAATTTTAATTATTATGGTAAAGTCTAACTCATTATGTAACTTTTGTTTTGAGAAAAACTGAAAAACACTATTAAAACTATAAACACATAGTATATAGTATTTACATATGATAGTGTTTCCATTAAATTAAAATCTCTTAAAGTTAATTAATGTATATTACGCTACATATCTTATAACAAATATGATTTAAAAGATTGGATTGAGCAAAATATTTAGAATTCTATCATAATTATTATTTCTACTTGTTTAAAAAAGTTTCAAATAATAGTATAAATTCAAATTGATGAGTATAAATTTAAACTGATGAGTATTCATCACTCAAAGTTATTAATAACATGATAAATAAGCAAAACAAATATGTAGAACATGATAAATAAGCAAAATCACTTCTCAAATAATAGTATAGAAAAGTGATAAAAATGTTTCTTTTCTCCTAAGAACTGATGAAAATTGTTTGTTTTCTCCTAAATAAAATATAATCGTTGCTTTGTTGTTTATCTGTGAATCCATAGTATGGATGTTAATTTGAGCAAATAGCTTGCATTGTCTTCCAAATCGGTCTTAAAATATCTTGAAGCCTACAAAGCCGAAGCCAAGAAGCAGATGGTGCGATTAGTAATCTTTATTTTTCAGTATGACAAGCCACATTTGCTAATTGTTGTTGTTGTATCTGAACTGTATGATTTTTGCAATGTCATTAGAGTAAAGCCAGAGTATCTCCTAAATGGAAGCTAGCACCTACATGCTGCGAGATAAGATAAATGGGATAGAGCAACTAAGGCTGGAACTGGTGGCACTGTAAGTTCATTGATTCATTCATTAGTTCCACACCAAATTGAAGTATCACTTTTGCATTTGATACATTGATCAGAACTGAAAAACATAGACCTTGCTTCTTGATTCATTTCTTTTATAATCTGTACTGCAGGAAGTGGTGTTTAGAGAACTGGAGGCAGCCACGTGGTGATCTAGAAGTGTTGGCTGCTGAATCCAGGGAACAATATTACAAGGTACCCTCCTTTTCGTTAGCTAATCATCCTTTCACGGCATGTATAATTGATTTACGATTTGGGTACTCATGAAAGGCATATTAGTTATGCATCAAACTCTATATAGTCTTCATGGGCTCTTTGGTTCTTACTCTCTTTGATTTTTGGTTTGTTTTTCTGCAGCTTAAAAATAAGCTACAGCTTCTCACACTTGGCATTGGTGGTGTAGGTTTAGTCTCGGATTATATTTCATACACGCCAGAGATAACACGTAGGTTCGTCTTTTTCCTGCAGAGAACATCAAAACCTCTCAAAAGTAAATGTTAATTATCTGATCTCCTTTATGTGTATCTGTGTTGGAACTCTGTTAAGAGTTTTGGTGCTGGCATGATGGGTTCATCGGCATACATAAAATGCTTGATAGAACTGTCACTGTAGATGATGCCATGGCAGCTGGAGCCAGAGGAGTTATGAAGTGCGTCTTACATGTTTCTAATTCAGCTTCATTTTGATTATCTACATCGAGACTACTCACTTACTTAAAGGTGGAATAAGTTCGCCCTAGTTCTCTCTCGATCCCAAATATCGAGGAGCCGACACACATCTTCCCTCTCGACGCCGGTGAGGCCTCTGGCCGCCGGCGTCGGGTTTTCTGCTCTGCTTCCTGCTACTCATCGTCTTCAACTCGCTCACCACCATTTTCTACTCGTTTCCGCCGCTTGTGTCTTCGTTTCATAGTCTAGGATTCCAGATCCGTGACCTTCTGGGGGACGCTCCACTTCTCCATCATTCCGGTCGGATTTTTCCACCATACCTTCTTCCCATGGAAGAAGATGTTTTCTCGGCCTTACAGCTGAACATCGGTTTCAACTTTATCACTGGTTTGTTATCTTGCGTAGCGGTCTGTACGGGGCCTGAAGATGCAACCGAGATTACCATGTGTTGTCTCAAAGGTGAGGGTTGGCCCTCAACGTCACATTATGTGACTAAGTTTCAGTTGTCCGACTATGTCGGGTATGCCCCTTCGACGCATCCAAGCTTTGTCTTGAATTCGCTGTCATCTTCTTTTGAAGATCTATCTTTCTTAATTTGGTTTGTTATTGTAGCTTATGCTTCTTATCAAAGAGGATGGATAATTCCCTCTTGTATTTGTACTCAAGAAAGTTGATGAATGAAAGTAGTTGTGTTCAAAAAAAAAAAAAAAAGACTACTCAGTTACTTATGTATTTTCTTTTTCACTGGATCTATTTCACTTCAGTTTATATAACAAGTTAGATTGTTCTGTCTAAAGACCAGTGATTAGATCAAAGTTATTGTTGAAGAAAATGTATTCCAAACACCAAAGTAATTAATTCATTCATAACTGCAAACTACCAAGAGGTAACTAAGAACATAGAAAGCAAAACGTAGAAAAGAAAAGTACTTAAACCAAAAGTGACATAAAGCATACAGCATACAGAGTACTCAACTGTAACCCTGTAATTTTTCAGACCAAACCAGGTCCCGTGTTGGCCTGGGCGTAATCTTCGTTAAGTCTTCCTTCGTAAACATAATCGAGCTTCTCACAAAGCTTCTTAATCTCTTCAACATCTTTCTTGGAGCAAGTATCATCAGAAACAACAACTGTGGTTTCGTTTTCTCCAGGTTTGTAGTTGGCGACTGCACGATGGCTCGAAACAACAATCTTTATGACCTTGTCCTCTCCAAAAGTAGTGCAAGAAATCACTTTCGCTTCCATTTTTTCTGTTCTTTGAGTTTTTGTTTTACTCTGCTTCTGTATAGAATAAAAAGAAGAAGAGTGTAAGATCATTTATATAGGGAACAATCATGTAAATGTTTATGGTGTAATCATGAAACATACATGCATGTAACTGAAAATGGACCACCAGATTTCATTTTTTGTATGAGCAATAAAGTTGAATCCAAGAAACTGCTTTCATTTTGCATGACTCTCAGTAGTGTTTCCACTTCTTGTGTCTAGAAAGATAAACCTATTTGAATTAATCAAGAACCAGGCAAATATTCTTAAGGTAACTTGTCCTATAAGTTATATTGTTGTATAGTTGCTTAATGATTTGTTTGCTTGGTATGATAACTCAGATTTCAGAGATGCAATTTTTGTTACGATGATAGCTTTTTTTTTTTCATATCAAACTTCATAAAATATCCTGACTTGTTATTGGGGTCGTATTATTATCATTCTATTTATTATGAAATGCTTGTCGGCAGCAGCACATCCCATTGACGATGATGTTCACTTTAGTGGCTTAGTGCTCACACTATTAAAAAATTTCAGCTTTGTTTTGAACAGAATTGATGGATGAATGAACAAAATACAGATCAAAGAGCTCTTTATTCTTCCCAAATAATAATAGCATTACATATAATATATCTGTTATCTATATTTTCTTGAAATAAACCAAAATGCTCTTGAATCACCCAAAAAAAAACACTGCCTGTGAGACCATGAATCACACCATAGACAATGCTTGTTATTGTCTACACTTGGTGCCTCTATCAAAACTGAACTAAGACTTTTTCTCATTAGAGCCTTGAAGCTCGCATGATCTTTAAAGTTTAGCAACTAAGCTTAACTTAAGAGCAAAAATCTAAAGAAGCAGGTCTGCTTTTTGAGCTAAAACATCTTTGGCTCATATCCCCACAGAGAAGTAATGCTAACACAGTGTGTACTCACAGTCGAGCAAGCCCCTGAGAATCTCTTCACAATTCGGGCGTTCTTGAGGCTCTGCCCAACAGTCTGCAGAGGAAATATGGTAACATTTACTCAGACTGTAACACTGGGATATAATGAAAGAATAAACCAAAAAGAACAATACTATGGTGTTTAACAACATTGAACCTGCAATTAGCTTGCTGAGTGGACCATCAGGAATCTCAAGACGAGAACGTTCATGCGCAACAGCAAAGATGACCTAAGAAGAAAACTTTCAACAATCAGTCCAATTCACATACACTGAAAGGGTGGTCAAATGTGAGAGAATGAACATCGATAGAAGAATCATGGCAAAGCATATCGTACCTTCTCAGGTGGAACACCTTCCCATGGTTTACGTAAAGTAGAGAGCTCCCACATTATGACCCCAAGACTAAAGATATCACATTTCTCTGTAAAAGGTTCGTTACGAATGAGTTCTGGAGCCATCCACTCTGGTGTACCAGCAGATGAAGTGTCCTTCATGTTTTCATCAGTCATTATCCTCGAGAGCCCAAAATCACAGATCTTGACCGTCCAATGTTTGTCCACGAGACAGTTGGCACTTTTTAGGTCACGGTGAACTATTTTCATCCGGTGTATGCACATCAAGCCCCTTAAGCATCCAAATCAAAGATACAAACCAGCATTAAATACGTATATGTAGCTTAAAATATATAATCGAGGGAAAGATGTAAAATATGCTCTTGTTTCTTATGTAGAGTGAAACAAATCAAGTTTAGAGGAGTGAAACAAATTGATTTGTTTCACTCCATTAAGATATAATACTTAATAAGGAACTAATAACTAAAAAGAAGATGACATAATAACACCCAAGAGTTAATACATCAGTGTTCATGTTTTCTGTATGCCATTCTGCTAATCTCCAGATACACAAACCATAATCCACAGTTTGAGCATCGAAGGCAGACAAAGAGCACAATAAATTGGTATCATTTTATAAGCAAGCTATGTACCTGCAGATGTCTCTTAGCATCCTGAGCCTTCTGTGCCAGCTAAGTTTCTTCTTTTGACCACTCATGTGGATCAAATAATACAAGGATCCCAGCTCCATGTATTCCGTGATCATGGATAAGCGCGGAGGTTTTGTGCATGCACCCATAAATAGAACAACTGCAAAAACACACATATTACTTAATAAACATGACACGAGAGAAAGCGAGAGGTTGCGAGGAAACAAAAAAATTACCATTTGGGTGGCGAATACGGCTGAAAAGAGAGAATCGCAGATGGCCGAGCAAACATGCAAAAACAGTTAACAGATGTACACAGGGATTGATCCAAGAATGACCAAGCAATTGATAACAAGGTACCTGAGAATCGATATCTCATTGCAGAAATCTTCCATGTTTTCGGCAGTAAGATCTTGCTCCAGAAACAATTTGATTGCAACATCTGTCCCATTCCACACTCCACGAAAAACTTCACCGAAAAATCCTAGATGGAAAACATAAGACAATGATTCTTTATACTACAATGCTTAACTAATTGATACTGAAATAAAAACTGCATTGTCTATATCAAAGATAGTAATAAATTTAGAGCAGCTTACCAATCCCAACCCGAGTTCCAACAGTCAGCTCTGAGAAGTCAATGTCCCATTCTTGATAGGGTAACAAAGGCTGATTCTGCAATGTGGATGACTCAACCACTTTATTCCACGTATCCTTCACGGCAAAATCTGAAGGCCCTCTTCGTCCGAATCCCTGACTCCTGTAAGCATGAGGGGATGATGGCAAAGACATTGTCTTCTTCGAGTTTAACTCATCATCAAGATGAAGACCAGCCAACTGGAAAAACACAACCGAAGGAAGCACAAGAGTTTATAAAGGTATTAGCTAATAGATTCAACGTCTTAGTGCAATGACCTTCTGGAGAAACTCAGAAGATCGAGACTGGTTAAACAATGGGAAGTGAACTAATACAACACAATAGTAACACTTAATTAACAACGATCCCCAACTTACATTTTTATTGATACCTGAGCTGTTTCCGTCCTCTCGGCCATGCAAGAGACGATTCTGCTTTGATTTCTCATACATTTCTCGTACAGCGCTTCAAAAAATTGTAACAACAGAGTCAGTCAATACACAAGAAAATTATTAAACCTCAGCTCACTCTTTCATGAGTTATTTCTCATGAATCTCAGTACCAAATCACAAAGTTAGAAGGAGTGCCATTGAATGGTTTTAAGGCTTTTGTGTGGCCATCAGAGTGAAAAAATAATTTCATGTTAATCACATTAGTACATCACCATCATACAGACACCTAAGCATCTAAGAGTTGCAGATAACAGTTTGCATTCTACATGGCTCATACCGTTATTCAATGTGATATAATGGACACTGCAGCTGTTAAGATGATTGAAGATTTTCAAAATTACCTTACAACTTAGATTGACAGAAAAAATTCGAATAAAGAGCCTTTAATATGCAAGCTGATAATTACACAAATGCTTCTAAACAACGAAAGAGGAAACAGTGCACACAGTTGAGAATACCAACCTGGCAATGTCATCCCCAATCTCTGGTGTCATCCTGAAACTTCGTCGCCTAGTTTTACGAATTTCTAAAGTGGATGAACTGTTAGAAAGATAAAACATATTTAAAAGTTGTTTGCACAGCCAATCAAATACACATATTGCTCTGGGCATCTAGTAACAGTCAGGTCAGAATTCTAACAAATAATGCAAGATTAGTAAAGTATAATATCACTACACTGGACTGATAAACAAAGGCAAATTGATACTTGAGCTCTCTTGATTAATATATAAGAGAAAACATGCAAAATCTAGCAAAGATTAATCCTTGAGATCTTTTTGAACATATCTGCATTATCACTGAAGCAATGTATAACGATATGTTTCAGACCTTAAGCTTTTCATGGGTGGTTCATAGGAAAGGCTACATTCTCTCTTGGGTACTAAATTCCATCTAAGTTATTACTTATGGGAGTAAGTTTAGTGGTTCTGTTGGCTCTGAAAGAAATCCCAAATCTCAGAACATGAATTTCTAGCAAAGATAAAGTCTAGCCTTTCCAAGGAACCAATGAAAATCTTAGGGTCGGCAACCACAGCCTCATACGTTGACTTCATCATATGTGAGCAAATAGGCAAAATCTAGCAAAGACTTGAATAAGCAACTACCTAATACTGGAATTTCCATCAAACATGCAGACTAGATGCATGGAAAAGGCTAAAGAATTTGGTATGCACTAATGTAAAAATGAGCTACCTTGAAGGAGATGCATCACCAGAGTAATCCCTAAATGAGTGTCTGCCAGTACTTAACATAGATCGTCCACGTGATCGCATAGATGGGTGTTCTGGGCTGCAAATGGAACAGAGTGCCGAAGTTAAGTACAAAGAAAAGGAAAGGCACACTTCAAATAACTCGTACAGAATCGCCAAGCAAATTTTCTCAGATACACTTTATCAAGAGATTCAAATGTAAAAGCAGCAAGGAGGGTAACGGTAACTTTACATTTTCCAACTCATAACTATATCTAGAGACAACAAGAGGGTGTACCAATGTAATGATCTGTGTAATTTATTTTCTATTTACTATGAACCAAGCTAGAAAGAGCACGGGAAAACCTCGAGCTAGCTGTTCTCTGTTCAGCAATCACTTTTCTGCGGCTACGTCTCCAGAACACAGTGGCGATGTTTGGTTCACTATGTGAGGTGTTACTGAAGGAAAAAAATACATTTCTATCACAAATCCACCATTAAAGATACACGTATACAACTTGTCAGAAAGTATATGTCACAGGTACCTCAATTTTCTTTCAATAGCTGTAGCAGGTCTAAGCATCAAATTATGCAATGATGCATTTGGATATCCTTTTTCATCTTTTTCTGTACTGTAACATAGGAAACTATTCATCACTCCCAGGAAAGCATATCACAAGAGATGTGTCTAGAATGACCTGACTGTAAACTAGTTTAGCAAGAAAATCACACAACGGAAAGCTGACCTCTCAGGATCTCTTCTCTCGTATAAAGG